AATCCCCTACATGTAAACTGTAGCTTGGAGAAATTGCCTCATTTGGAGCGAATTAGATACTATTTGAAAAGAAAACTTGAACAATTTGACAAAATTTCAAACCTTTTATCTGTTACCTTGAAAAAAACCCTCTCATAATAATGCATAATTTCTGTAATATTTTAATATGCTCTATCATCATACTCTGTTGTTCAAACAGGTCTTTGTAACAAGTTTGCTTGTCATTTGGGTGTTTCTTTTTTATTTTATTTATTTATTTTTTTCATTTGCTTTTCCTATGTTATATATATATATATATGGACAAAATATGTAAACAGAATTATTTTCCTTTTGAATCTGTGTTTTCAATAAAACTTATTTGTCAAGAAAACATTTACTCAATTGTTCTCCTAGTTTAACAGCCACTTGAACAAGTTGATGAATCAAAGGGTTGGAAATCCAGCTGCTCTAATCTCTCAACTGCCCATCACCTGTAATAGATCAACTAATATGGTCATTATCACATTGTTTAAATTATGAAATAATATAAATATTGGACATTGGACACAATAGCTGAAAAACAATGCATGATTAAAACATACAGTGTGAAGTGATGCCATTTTAAGTAATTACACATTAAAAAACTTGTGCTGGTGGGTCAGTTTAAGCACTTAAAACTTACGTGATAAAGCCCCTATGTAGTCAAACCATTTTTGTCTTCTTTACCTCAGACTTAAGATTAACTAAAATCTAATATGCTTCAAAACAACGACAAATTGACATTTAAAAGATATAACCATGAAAAAAAAAGTAAAATCTCTCACTTTTACCGATAAAGATGAACTATTTTGATGAAATCATGCTGTGTTTCATCCTTCCTGGAGTAAGTTTTTTAACAGCTTTAGAACTTTATGTATTCTGATTTAGTTTCCATGGCAACTGGCAACACATCAATTTAAGAAGAGTAGCCGATTTTACATTCTGATTTGAAATTCTGGCAGTTCTGTATCAGTTACATCCTAAAGTCTGAACATCTAAATCCTATGTAGGCGGTACTCCCAGGGGCACAGAAATAGAAATCCCACATTGGACCATACTGCTCAAAGGGTTAAAGTTATACAGGGGATATTAGGAGGAGAAACTGTTAGCATTACTTTCATACAGTGTCTGTCATATGTGGTTTTACTAAACTCAGCTGTTCTAGGCTGTAAAATACACAAAGAGCTATTGGCTATTTGTAAAAAGGAGAGTGGCTGGCTATTTAATATATATATATATATATCTTCTGTGTTTCTAATCAAACAATACTTGTTTTCGGTTGCTCGCTGATGTCTATGGGAGACGGCAATAAAATGTTCCACATAATCTAGCCATGTGTGCTATTCACAACACATACATAGTTTACTCACTGCAATATCTTAATTCGGATTATGCATTGTATCTGGAAACAGATGAAACACCATTTTAAGATAAAGTCACTTTCTCTTCTCTCATTGCTAAGATGGGACTTTTACGCAATAGAAGGAAATGGGTGCACATACTTTAGGTAGATCTTTTTGCTGATGGAAATCTAGCTTCATTTAAGAAATTACAGCAGAAATTTTAATTCTCTCAGAATCTTTTTTCTTTTTTTATCCAGATTTTTACAGATTAGGAATTACATACATGCCCACTTGTCTTCAATGGACAGTACATCCCCTTCAGTCATTGACAAATGCCTAGTTACATCCTACATCCTAAAGTCTGAACATCTAAATCCTATGTAGGCGGTACTCCCAGGGGCACAGAAATAGAAATCCCACATTGGACCATACTGCTCAAAGGGTTAAAGTTATACAGGGGATATTAGGAGGAGAAACTGTTAGCATTACTTTCATACAGTGTCTGTCATATGTGGTTTTACTAAACTCAGCTGTTCTAGGCTGTAAAATACACAAAGAGCTATTGGCTATTTGTAAAAAGGAGAGTGGCTGGCTATTTAATATATATATATATCTTCTGTGTTCCTAATCAAACAATACTTGTTTTTGGTTATATATATATATATATATATATATATATATATATATATATATGACTCAGTTGGAATTTCTGTGTGGAGTTTGCATGTTCTCCCTGTGTTCGCGTGGGTTTCCTCCGGGGGCTCCTGTTTCCCCCACAGTCCAAAGACATGCGGTACAGGTGAATTGGGTAGGCTAAGTTGTCCGTAGTGTTTGAGTGTGTGTGTGAATGTGTGAGTGGATGTTTCCCAAAGATGGGTTGCAGGCAACTGGAAGGGCAACCGCTGCGTAAAAATGTGCTGTATAAGTTGGCAGTTCATTCCACTGTGGCAACCCCGGATTAATAAAGGGACTAAGCCAACAAGAAAACTAATGAATGAATGAATGAATGAATGAATGACATCAAGGAATTTACTTCCTTTTTACACTAATAATATTTATAGGGACATATTAGAGAACATACAGTTCTGTGCACAACACCAAATAAATGTTATAAAACAACTTAAACCCAGCCAAAGTCTCTTTAAGCAAGTCACTCTGTGGCCATCTTTGAAATGCCTCTCAGGCAGTATGATTGGGCATTCTGTCTGAATGGGGAAACATCAAACTCTCCAAAGCTGTTTGCCAACCTCATTTATGGTCGGTCTGCATATTATCATACTCTGAATAATGCCTCGTCTGTTGTGTTGGTCTTCTAAGAAATTCCCAACTTGGTCCTGATGGTGAATCTCCTTCAGAATTGATGGTGACTCTTTGTTTACAAGTTTGTGGGCGTTTAGGTAGTTCCTGCTGTTATCTGATGTGCCTTTGACAGGACGAACTGTACCTTGCGTTCGTTTCATACAAATTACAAAACCAGAAAACATTCATTTTCAAGTGTAGTGTGTAGTGTGGTCATTTAAAAGTACACTGCATAAAATACTTTTCTTGCTTAGATTTTTTGTCTTGTTTCTAGTCTAAATATCTAAAATTTCTTATATCAAGAGGAATTTTCTAGACAAGCAAAACATATCGTCTTGCTTTGAGAAAAAAATATGCCAATATTAAGTGAGTTTTTCCTTAAAACAAGCAAAATAATCTGCCAATGGGGTGAGCAAATTAATCTTGTTTTTTCTTTTGACTTAAGATTATATTGCTTACCCCATTGGCAGATTATTTTGCTTGTCTTAAGAAAAAACCCACTTAATATAAACATATTATATCTTAAAACAAGACAATATGTTTAGCTTGTCTAGAAAATTCCTCTTGATTTAGGAATTTTTTGATATTTAGACTAGAAACAAGACAAAAAATCTAAGTAAAAGCATTTTTGCAGTGTAGCGATTTCAAGCTTTATGGGGATGCATTTCTTATTTATGTGAAGCAAGTATTCGCTAAGACTCCTGTGTTTTTGTTGCCCACATAAACTGTCATGAAAGCACACGTCTGGTTTGAGCTTCTCTCCTGGAGAATCGTCAGTCTATAGCGATCAATGATTGGCTCCTGTACTAGTAGGCAGGGCTTCATTAGCCATATTGACTGTTACACTTTTCCCCATTCAAAACTATACGAGTGACACGTCTTGTGTATTCTTTTTGACCCAGCTAACAGGCAATGTTCTAAGAACATTTAGTAAAATTAGAATTCTTAGAAATCTTTAGAATCATTAGAATCTTGTAAATTTCTAATCTTTAAAAGTTAGAACATAATGTCAATGAAATGTTGTTTTTGGAACTTTCTTGCAATGTTGATAGAAAAATTTTCTTAGAACCATTTTCTTGGAACATCTAAAGTACGCTATATGTTCTTAAAGCATGTTTTCATAATACTGATAAAAAAAAACATTCTTAGAAGATTGCTATAACGAGCCGATTCAAATGTTATCACTTGATTGAACAGACATTATCAGTGGTTATCAGCTGATGGATAGAGACCTCCTGCCTCTACTGGTAGGCTCAGAAGGCTGCTATCATCCATCAACATGGTTATCAGCTATAGATCACATACAGCTGCAGCCGGAAGTTAACGAGAATTATTTATATTATTGATTACCCATTAATTGTGTTTTATAAATGTCTATCCCAAGCTCAAACCAAACTGTCATAGTAATGTTAAAACAGAACTGGATCTGGAGTCTTGTTTATTATCTGATTAACCATGTGGATGAATGATAACCATTTCCGGCCCTTATCTATAACCACTGATAGCGCCCATTCAATCGAGTGATGACGTTCGAAGCGGGTGCTTTAACATGGAGAGAAGGTTTTTTAAAAACATTTTATATACTGTTCTGAGAACAGTAATACATGAGACTGAAATTCTGTGAAAATGTTTTGAATAATGTTATTAAAACCAAAAAATATCATTAATACATCGTTTAAAGAATTACATCACTTAAAAAATAACAAAAGAACATTCAAATAACATTCGATAACTCAATTGAATGTGAAAAGAGAAAGTTTTTAGTTTCTAAAACTCCTGAAATATATAGACTGGGGTACATATTTCCAATGGAATTACACATTTGGTAACAGGATTGCAACAATTACAGACCTCCCAGCAAATGTATAGAATAAACTAGCTCATCTAAGTTAGATCGACAATGCTGCTCTGAATTTTAAGCACCTACATCTCAAACTTTATAAAAGTTTCAGGTCTTGGTTGGAGCCCTATTAGCAGAGAGTGTCATGAGTGTGCGGTATAAATATTCCCCGAGCCTCGGCGCTCTATAGATTAACTTGGCACGTCTCACACATAAGGCTCTGCATGTGAATGTTCTTTTGATGAAGTCGCAAGCTGTCTCATTGCGTTCCCACCTTAATTCATCTCGTTGCTTGCGAAATCACCTGTGTGCGGGACCTCCAGTCATAGCGAAACATCAGTACAGTGCCATCGGCCTAGAGAGGTTAATTATGCCTGTCGCCGTGCTCCAGTTTCATGCATGAAGCTTCAAGTTGGATGACACGTCCTTAATTTGCTGTCGCTGTTATTTTGTAATGTGATTTCGAGCACCATCCGCCACTCTCTTTGCTCTGTTGGCAGGATCTCCAGCGGTCTGTCAGGGCTGCAAGGGAAAAATAACCTCAGACTCGAGCAGGAATAAGTGGACCCCCCTGTTAGGGAGCAGAGAGTTAACACACAAACCTTCATGAGAGGTGGCCTACTGCGAAAAACCATGAAAAAGATATACATCGGGAAAACGGCCCTTAAAACCTCTCGAAATGGTTGTAAACATCAGAAAAAGAGGTAAGGTGCTCTCTTAACCCCGTCGTCCGCCCACCACCGTCATCTCATCCACCATGTGCATCTCCGTCGAGTGCTGAACCCATGATTTTGTAACTGATTGGTCAATCATGAGTGCCGCCGCTGCAAGTGTTGACCAATGAATGTGCTATTGGACTCACTACATAATCATCTGCTCTCCAATGCACTTGTGACTATGGAAGTGTTATTGGTTTGCTAAATGAGGCTGTTTGAAGAAATTAGCAAACTAATACATGAGCCAAACACTTGTCGATAGGCAACAAGTGGAAGCAATTACGTGCTGTCATATAGAGACTATCAGCAGTGTAGAGATCTTTTCTCATTGTGTTTGTTCTTATATGGCAATTTGATATGTGGAAAGACACTTGAGAGAGTTTATTTGTTGCTTTATAATGTATCTCGATACGGTTTCAAGGCGGTAAATTGGTGTATTTGCTCAGAATATAGCCAATTATGAGGTAAAGCTTAATAGACTCTTTTCATAGTTCCATGTTTGCCAGCATTGGAAGTTGTGGTAAACTTGGGGAACCGTAATTGGACGATTTGCTCTGTTAACTAAACAAAAACTCCAGGATAGTTTTTATGATTTTAAAAATTGTGTGGGGATAATATTGGTCAATTTACTGTCCCACCCATAGACGCTTCATTAGAAACACTTTGCACTTGCAATTTGATGCAAAAATGATAGAACACAAAGAATAGATTTACAAATGATTGAAATAAATTAAATAATTTTTTGAGGATTTAAGATGATGACGGCTGTTCAATGCATCATCACTGTATTGTGAAAAGGTATCTATTGAGTTAATATGAAGCCAGACTGGTTTTAAATATAATACTTTTACAAAATATAACTAAAACATCCACAACTCAATTCACATTTACAAAATCCAATATGTAAGATCAAAATTCAAATTCATAAATACACAAATCCAGTTTGTAAACTCAAAATACAAAGTCAAAAATACACAAATCCAATTCGCAAATTCAAAACACGATACAAAAATAAGCAAACCCAATTCAAAACACAATTGATAAATACACAAATCCAGTTAGTAAATTCAAAACACAATTCAAAAATACACAAGTCTAACTTGTAAGTTTAAAACTCGATTCAAAAATACACAAATCTAACATGTAAATTCAAAAAACAAGCTATAAATACACAAATCCAGTTTGTAAACTAAAAAAAACAAGTAAAAATACACAAATCCAGTTTGTAAACAAAAAAACAAGTCAAAAATACACAAATCTAATTCGTAAATTCGAAACATGATACATAAATGCAAAAAAACAATTTGTAAATTCGAAACATGATTCTAAAATATACAAATATAATTCGTAATTTCAAAAAAACAATTCATAAAATACACAAATTCAGTTTGTAAACTCAAAATGCAAGTCAAAAAAACACAAATTCAATTTGCAAATTCAATATACGATTCAAAAATACACAATTCTAACACGTAAATTCAAAACACGGTTGATTAATACACAAATCCAGTTTGTAAATTCAAAACGCGTTTCAAAAATACACAAGTATAAAACGTAAATTCTAAAACCAATTCATAAATACACAAATCCAGTATGTAAACTCAAAATACAAGTCAAAAATACACAAGTCCAATTCGTAAAATTCAAAACACGATTCATAAATACAAAATCCAGTTTGTAAATTCAAAACACGATTCCAAAATACGCGTAAATTCAAAATCCATTTCATAATATATACAAATCCAGTTCATTTAGCTAAAATATTTATTTTTACTTCACAAATTGTGTTGCATTTATGAAATTTGTTTTGAATATACAAACTAGATTTTGTAAATGTGAATTCTGCTATGCATGTATGAATTTTATTTAATAAATTTATTATTTTTGAGACTGATCTGGCTCCATAAGTTAAGTGTTCTAACTTAAAGTGTTGTAATGTGTGTTTTTGTGTGTGTTTTTATTACACTTTATAAAACTATTCATTGAAGAAAAAATGACTTGCCTGTTTGCGGTTTTAGCTGTTCTGACATCCATATTTTGATTAAACACTAATCTCGCTACATTCATTCATTCATTCATTCATTCATTCATTCATTCATTCATTCATATGTTACCTTGTTCTTGCTGGAAACTGATGACAATTAAATTTGAAAATTCATTCTGGTTAATTCTCATCTACATTTCCACATGTGAAAGTAAATGTCCAATAAACAATATTTTTATACAAATTCAGCTAAAAAAAAATAAAAAATTGACAATTTGTCTCTTAATTTGACTTATTTAATTAAAATATTTATTATAATTTATTTATATACACTACCTGATAAAAGGCTTGTTGTTGATCTCAGTTGTAAGAGCAACAAATAATAACTTGACTTCTAGTTGATCATTTGGAAAAGTGGCAAAGGTAGATTTGCATTCCAGTCATCACAAATACTGCAGAAGACCTATTGGAATTCGTATGGACTCAAGATTCTTACAGAATTAGTCAAGTTTGGTGAAGGAAAAAATCATGGTTTGGGGTTACATTTAGTATGGGGGCATGTGAAAGATCTGCAAAGTGGATGGCAACATCAACAGCCTGACGTATCAAGACATTTGTGCTGCCCATCACATTACAAACCACAGGAGAGGGCAAATTCTTCAGCAGGACAGCGCTCCTTCTCATACTTCAGCCTCTATATCAAAGTTCCTGAAAGCAAAGAAGGTCAAGGTTCTCTAATAAACTGCTTTACTTAATGAAAATTCATCTTACTTTTAACTCAAAGCAAATTCCAAAAACTGTACTTGGTGGTATCAGTATCTTAGATAAAAAAAAATGTAAAAACTTCCATATTAGAAAATGTCTAATTCAAAATAGTAGTTGTTTCCCGAAAGCCATTTTGAAATGGGAAAAAAAAAAAAAAAATTCTTTACCTTTTATAGATGATATTTGGTCAACAAGTAATAAGTTTTTACCCCCAAATAAGGTAAAATAAACTCATTTCAAAATATTACACAGGTATTATCCCTGCAATATATTTATTAATAAAATTAAAACTGATATTTCACCATAATGTTCTTTTTGTAACACTGAGCCTGAAAGTCTTGTACACCTTTTTTGTACTTTTCTGATTATTTTTGTAATTTTCTGATGATTTTTGGAAACAGGTTTCAGGGTTGATTTTGATTCATTTAGCAAAATAATTAATTTTGACGAATGCATGATTCTTTTTTTTTTTTTTTTTTTTGAATTGTAAAACTGGCTATGATACACTCGATAAGGCATTGAAGTTGATAATTTTTTTTTTTATGGGGAAGTTTCACATACAAAAGGCAAAAGTAATGTCTATTACTCCCTCCTTAAATTTTTTTCTGCAAAGATTTAAAAATATTTTATAATTCTTTAACCTCAATTCCAAGAAACAAGAAAGCTATAAAAACCTCTCTAATAATGAAAAAATAAATCTGTAAAATCTTATAATTTAAATATGATGGATCCCCTCATAGATATGTTACACTTTTTTGATTAATGCATGTTCTGCATCACTAAGTTTTGTATGACTGTTACATATGTTATCATATAATCCAGTATGCTTGTCAGTTATATGCTTCAATAAAAAAATAAATAATAATAAATAATAAAAAAGGTGCTACAGGACTGGCCAGCCCAGTCACCAAACATGAACTTTATTGAGCATGTCTAAGCAAAGTCAGACCTTACTGTCTTAATTAAACAATAATAAATCAAGGCATGATCATATTTTATATTGGTAAAATAAGCTAAATCTGGAGGTCTTTGTCTTTCATATAAGCCACTTCTGATACCAAATGATCAACTACAAGTCATTATTTGTTATTCTTAAAACTTGGATGGGCAACAAGGCTTTTGTCAGGTAGTGTATAATACAATTCATAATAGAATAGTATAATTTTGAAAGTGGAATCCAGCTGTCAGGCTTAATGTTAACTTAACGCCATGATGATTGTGTATTGTGACAGCACAAGTGACATTTGTGTGTGAATCTCTTTGTGTGTGTGTTCTGCTGCACGTGTGGCCTCATAACAACTAGCATGTGTTATCTTGCCTGTATGCTGACTTTTAAATCCACGTGTGCATCGATTACCAGTACAACATTTCAGATTTGTAGCATTCTCATTGGTCCAAACACGTGTCTGATAAGACTCAGTTTGTGGAGTTGAATGGGCCAGCTCTATCAGCAGCCAGGAAAGTCATTTACGTTCTCCACACATGTGTCCATCAATACCAGACCATTATCAGCCCTCAGCGGCTCTCTCGCGTACCATAAAAAGCAGCGTTTGGTTCCATCCATCTCTCTCACCCCATCCCCGCCTGTGTGCTTGATCTATAAATAGACCGTCTCTCTACATGGCATTGGTCATGTGACTACGGATCAATGTGGGAAACGGGGAAAATGAGTGTTGGGGATTAAAAAGGTCAGTGAGAATGATTTATCAAAACACCGTTGAGTGTGTTCGGATTACACTAAATATGACTGGCTTGTTGTTTGACAGTTATCGATTATGCCGAAGCAAAATATAATATGCTGAGATTCATCCTCAGCGAACGTTCAATCAAAACAGTTGTTTTTGTTGTCACATTCCCATTATTGATCCAAAGTCTCTGTCTGATCTATGAAGATAGATCGAGGTGTGTTTTGGTCATATGAAGTGAATGTAATGGTCTGTCTGCAGCTCTCTGCAGGAGCAGAAGGAGGACCTGCGCAAGCGTCTCTCTTACACCACTCATAAGCTGGAGCTGTTGGAGCGGGAGTTCGACTCTACAAGGCAGTACCTGGAAACAGAGCTGCGCAGAGCTCAGGAGGAGCTCGACAAGTTTACAGACAAATTACGCCGGTAAGAAGAGTGCTCACAATAGAGTTTTGCATCCACATATGGTTACTAACTGAGCAATTTAACAAACAGGATAATGGACCTGAAATCTTCTACAGCCCAATTCCCATTCTTATGTTATGGAAAAGGACATACATTTTTCATGCAAAACAGTGCAGTGCACTCTCAGAATTTTACTTTTAGGGTAGCAATGTGAACATTTAAGGTACAAAAGTATATCTTTTGAAAAGGTACTACCCCAGTTACTGATTTTGTATTTATTTTTCGAGTGTATGTACTGTAAAATCCCCAATTTGCAGTGCTAAATGGAAATTAAACAAAGTGCTTTGGCATTGTTTTGAGCAAAGTGTCTGAAAAAGGTTATTCCAGGTTGCTTCTACCATTAGTTTATTGCAAATTAGACATGAAGGCCTTTTTGAACCTATAACTACTGTCATCCCAGGAACTGGGAATTAAATTACCTCCACTGCAGTGTACAGAGGTAAGAATTTCGGTAACACTTTATCAGTGCTGGGGAGTAACTAGTTACATGTAACGGCGTTACATAATTTAATAACAAAACAAATGTAACAGTAATTCATTGCAGTTACTAAGAAAAAATTGTAATTAAATTACAGTTACTTATGAAAATGTTTAAGATTATTAATGGGGTTACATCTTAAAATATAAAAATTCTGGGATATGTTGAATTAATCGGTTGCTTTGCCTGTTTTTGATATGCACGATGCCTTCTGCTAAGGCCATTCATATACTTTTGATTGGTTTTCCGGTTTGAATTTGCGGCACTCCACGTCTATCAATTACGTCGTTAATCCTCTTTGCCATCGCTACAAGTAGTCACGCTACTAGCTATGCTATTAATTAAATTGTTTTTCAGTAGCAAAGTTATTTTATTAGTCAAGTAGCGGAGTAGCTTTCACACAAGCTAGATTTAACATTCACGGATCAATAAGTGACAGCACCGATATTCACAGAGCTGTGAGGCCGGTGTCTAGCTGATGAAAGTAAATCCTTATGATGGCAAGAATGATGATTTTTTTCTTCTACCTGTTTTTCGGGGGTCTAAAACTCTGGTTAGTGAAGTCGCCAACCAGTTAGGCTAACACGAGAAATTTGCTTGATGGAAAGATGACTGAGGGAGAGGAGGTCAATATATGTAGTTTACTATAGTAAAGGCTAAAGCATACTATGGTAATGAATATTAGTTCACGATAGTTACCAATGATACTATGTTGTGTAATTCATTAAAATATCCATTAGAAATTTAAAAGCAATCAATAAGTAATCGGATGTAATCAGTTACTTTACTTTTATAAAGTAATTGAAAAGGTACAGTAGTTATTACATTTTAAATAGGGTAATTTTAATCTGTAATCGATTACTTTCCAAAGTAACCTCCCTAACATATGCACTTTATTTTTGATGGTCCCTATTGAACATTTTGTTGATTAAAAGTTGCATTGCAACTACATGTATTAGTAAACTGTCTGCTTAATATTCGCTGATACTATAAGAAACTTTGCAAGTGCATGTCAACTTACACTAACCCTAACCCCAACCTAACAGTCTACTTATAATCTAATGAGATTTAGTTGGCATGTAGATGCAATGTAACTTAAATTCAACAAAATTCTTTTTCAAGAGTTCACACTTAGCTGATGATTGTTTATAAAGCTTGTTTGGCATGCTGTCCCGGGAGAGAGTCCTGAGCTCATAAGATCCTCGAGCCCAGGGCTCCCTCCCGTTTGCAAGGCGAGAGGGGAGTTTAAGCTCAGGTAGATCTCGAGAACTTCCCTGCTGTAGTAGCTACTGAACAGATAGAGATTGCTCTTAAGAGATACTGTAACCATTTACAAGAAGCATGTCTATGATGCCGATTTGGATTAGTCAATTAACTTAGGTTGCATGTTTTTGGATGGTGGGAGGAAACCGGAGAACCTGGGGGAAACCCACATAAGCACAGGGAGAATGTTAGGTAAGGACTAGAACCAGTGACTTTGTTGCTGTGAGGCAAAAGTGCTAACCACTGCGCCACCATGCCACTCATTTAGGAAAGGAGGAGAAGTAGGGGTTATAGGGGAGATTCTTCAAAACGAAGATGGCTGTTATATGGAACTTGGGGTACTTATAGTGGTTTAGGAATCGTCTGATTGGTGAATCATAAATTGAATAATGCGGGGCCGGCTGCAAGCAATCATAAGCATGTGATCTTCTTGAAATTAGATTAGTTTTTTAAATAAACTTCACAAAGGGACCATCAAAATAAAGTGATGCCAGAATTTCGGCGCTGAAATATCCCACTTCGAACTCAAAATGTTCCAGTTTGTCTTCACAGTCATGTTTTCATCACATGACATTCGAACATTTTATTACATTTCTTGTTATTGTGCCTATCATGCCTAAAACAAAAATGATTTTCTAGCTGTTCTTTGAATACAGCTAATTAACAACCAAAATAACATTCCATATTGCACTAATATCATCTCAGAAATAGATTTTTTAGCGGGTTTCCCACTCATTTTGTACTATAAACATACTAAAAATGTTTATTTATATGTTTTACAGTATGTGTAACTGCATTAATCTTACAGAAGCAGAACTAGCTGTCAGTGATATAAAATAACAGGATTCTGCTCCGAGTTCACAAGTTGGCATTCTTGATATTATTTATAAGTAGAAAGCAGGAAAATCCCAATTCTGTGCTGTCTGGATTGTAGCACAAGAGTAGGCTCAACACAATGAAAAATGACTTCAGTTTACATTGTTTGGGCAAATGCATGCCATGAAACAGTGGCACAGTGTTTTAAAGTGCTACAAGACATGAAAATACAAAAAGCTAACATGTGCTCATTTTCAAACCACCTTTGCACTTTTAAAATTAAAGTACTGGAATTAGTGGTTAGAATAACAATCTTTATCTTGCACAAAACATTTCCAGTGCACAGGTTTTTGTTGTGTTAAATTATTTTCAGCGCTAATTAACATAAGCCATTTGTTTTGTTCACTGTAATAATAGAAGAAGGAAGCGGAGAACCGACGCAGTTTCAAATTATTAATAATAACAGATTAAACAAAAACAAAGGTCAAACTGAAAGCAACAGTCAAATAATAGGTCCGGGCCCAGTCCTCTCTCAACTAGCACTGGCATATCTCCTCCTTTTAGCAAAAACAAAGGTCAAACTGAAAGCAACAGTCAAATAATAGGTCCGGGCCCAGTCCTCTCTCAACTAGCACTGGCATATCTCCTCCTTTTAGCTTCCAGGCCTCCTCTGTGAGACTCGAGGCAGATGATGCCTACAGATGTCTCTGATTCACTCATCACATTGACCTTTTAAGAACTGTTCACTAAAATTATGCACTGAAATTATACACTGAAAAAAAGTGCTTCTTTATAGCTCATTTCCACTGACTGGTATACTACAGTAAGATTTGGGTTGGTATGGGTCACCTTTTTCAGGCTTGCATTTCCACTACCAAGGGTACCTTTTTGGTGGGCGGGGTGTAGGCTATGACAAAGTTTCAGTCAACGTCATTTTCGCTTGAGAAAATGTCTACAGTAAAGCTGTACGGGTAGCACTTCTCACAAAACAGATGCTTTATACACAAATACTTCTGTATAAATGTTTATTACTAACTTTTCTATGAACCTGATTTGATTGTAACTGCAGATCAATGACATTAGCCTACTGTAACGTCTGTAATTATATTAAATAAATAAATAAATAGATAAATGCAACATATATTCAATTCAATTCAGCTTTATTTGTATAGCGCTTTTACGATGTAGATTGTGTCAAAGCAGCTTCACGTAAATGGTCATAGTAACTGGATCAGGGTAGTTCAGTTTTTAGTGTTTAAGTTCAGTTTAGCTCAGTTTGAAATCATTACTAAGAGTCCAAACAATGAAGAGCAAATTCATCGATGCGTAGCTTTACAGATCCTGAACCATGCAAGCCAGTGGCGACAGCGGAGAGGGAAAAAAAACTTTACCAATAGAAGAGTGAAGAAAAAAAACCTTGAGATAACCAGACTCAGTTCGGCATGACCATTTTAATTTATCCGCTGGTCAGAAGTCTTGTGCAGAGCTGCAGTCTCAGCAGTGGAGGCTGGAAGCTATGAACACATACAGCTCCTTACAGTCTCTGATATGTTACCAACTACAGAAGAACTACACACAACATACATTTAGTCCTTATTAGGTTCAAAAATACAAAAAACAGCCTACGGTCAGATCAAACCTCTCATCTGTGTCTTTAATCTTCAGCAGCACATGTAGCCTCTGTTAGAGTCATTCCATCATTCTGAGTTCATAATAATCTAAAACGTGATGATAATAGTTAAACATGGCAGTTTGTTCACGTTTGCTGAAAAAATAATGTGCTCCTTTTTTTCCGGCTTCTCCTTTGTTTTTTCGTGGGTCACTCTTGCGTTTGTCAGTTTCTGACAGGGTTGGGTTTCAAAAGCACGTCAGTAACCAAGCGCACGTTATTACCATCAGCTCAAGAAGTTCGTTATTTCATATATAGACGCCTGGCGAGTGCAAGCAAAAAAGCGAAACTGCTCGGGCTTCAGACTGGCTTGTAAAAAACTAAGGGGCACAGGGTAAATTTGCTCTTCTTTTTGGATTTGAGGCTGTTCATCAAGATGACGACAAGGTTTGTTTGTTTCTTTTACGGCCATAAAAGCGCACCAAACCGAACCGTACCACTCAGGGGAAACAGGCCACTAAAAACCCCAAAATGGTTCTTCAATGCGCAAAACCTGTTTTAGATCCTTAATTTTTAAAGGGTTCGTTCACTTAAACATAACAATTCTGTTATTAATTACTCACCCTCAAGTCATTCCATTTGCCTGAGACTATCTTTCATCTTCAGAACACAATTTATGATATTATAAGAGGGTTTTTTTAGTTGTTCTGTATCTTTAGTCGCGGGTAAAGGGATCCACAAAACTAATGCATGCATACACAGTTGTAGAACATTCATTCATAAATATATAATACA